CTAATTTATTTAGGTATTCGTACAAACATACAAACATGATGGTAAATATTTTATGTTTCTATTTTATGATTCATTTTATTTCAAATGAGCATGCATGATCATCATTTTCAAAAACAATTTATATCCCGTTTGAGCTGATATAATTTTGTATTAAAGTCATTTTAGCTATGATCATTTTATTATAGGCCCCAGTCAACGCCGTTTTAAGCAATTGTTTCTTATCTATTGTGTGAGGCTGTGAGTGTTGTTGGGTTTTTTCTGTAATTCTTGGAGCAACGAGAACAACTCTTAAAAATTACTAGAAAGAAATAGTTGAAATCAATTCTGCAAGCAGTCTCTTTTATTTTAAATAATGTCTACATAACTAAAAACAACATTACCATCTATTTCCCTTAGTGTAAATAATTGCTAAAAAACGACCTACACGCCTTTTATGTATTTCAAACGCATCTTTTAAATGCTATAAATTGATTAAACTATTATTTTATGTCATTTCTAAAAATGGGAACACCCAAATACTCCGAAATATTCCGAATTTCCATATTGCGGTTTTCAATACTTCGAATAAATTGCTAAAATTAGGATACTATTCAGTTACGCATATATATTTAAAATCTATAAGTAACGTTTAATGTAATTTAAAAACGTCTCCTTTGTTATTAATATTTGAGTATTAATATTTTTTTTGTTTTCTTCTTTTCCTTAAATATATCTGCGTCGGGTACCATTTACTGTTACTGAATTCTTTGGGTTAGGTTAGGTTAGAACAGTGGCCGCCTCGGGGAGGTGTTCGACGCTAGCTTGGTGTCGGGACGTTTCCCTGAGTGCTGGAAGAGCGGGAAGCTGGTCCTATTAAGCAAGCTGGGACGGCCTGCCGATTCGGTCACGGCCTACAGGCCCATCGTGCTGCTGGACGAGGCGGGTAAATTGTTTGAGAGGGTTCTCTCTGCCCGCATCGTCCGGCACCTCTACGAGGTGGGCCCCGATCTGTCGGACGCCCAATTCGGTTTTCGGGCGGGGCGTTCGACAGTCGACGCTGTGTTGCGCCTGAGGGCCGTGACCGAAGAGGCCGTGAGCTGTGGCGGCGTGCTGTTGGCGGTGTCATTGGACATCGGCAACGCATTCAATAGTCTGCCATTCAGCTGCATCAGAGAAGCACTCCACTATCATGGGGTGCCAAAGTACCTGAGGCGGCTAGTGGCAGACTATTTAGAGGAGCGTACCGTCGTGTACGAGGACCGAGAGGGTAATTCGAGGTGTCGGCCCATGTCGTGCGGTGTTCCACAGGGGTCTGTTCTTGGACCCCTCTTGTGGAACACAGGGTACGACTGGGCCCTTCGAGCCGATTTCCCCCCCGGGCTGGGTGTAATTTGTTATGCAGATGACACTCTGGTGACAGCCCGGGGGGGAACTTCCAAGAGGCGGCGCGCCTGGCCACAAGGGGAGTCTCCCTGGTGGTCGGGCGCATTGAGGCGCTGGGCTTACGGGTGGCCCTAGATAAGACGGAGGCCCTGTTATTTCATGGGCCCCGTCGTGGTCCACCCCCTGGCGCCTCAATCGTGGTCAACTCGGTCCTCGTACCGGTTCGGGCCCAGATGAAATATTTGGGCCTGATCCTCGACGGGAGGTGGCTCTTCGACGAGCACTTCCGACAGCTTGCTCCAAAGCTGGTCGGCGCTGCGTCTGCCCAAGGGCGACTTTTGCCCAATTTGGGTGGACCCAGCGTCGCAACAAGACGGCTGTACACGGCGGTTGTCCGGTCAATGGCACTATACGGTGCACCGGTGTGGGCGGCGGCTCTGATCGCCCAGAATAGGGCACGCCTCTGGCGCCCTCAGAGGGTAATGACGGTCAGAGCCATACGCGGTTACCGCACCGTTTCGACGGAGGTGGCGTGCGCGTTGGTCGGAACTCCCCCGTGGGATTTGGAGGCGGAAGTGCTCGCCGAAGTTTGACTCCCGGGCGGAGGGCTCTCCGCCCGGGAGTCGTCGAAGACGTGCGCGAGTGGCTAGAAGCCGCTCGCCGAGCCACGATGGCTCGTTGGTCGGTCCGGCTGGAGACTCCACGCGCTGGCTTCGCCGCCGCGGAGGCTCTCCAGCCGGTCATCGCCGAGTGGGCAGGGCGGCAGCACGGGACCCTTACCTTCCGGCTGACGCAGGTGCTTTCCGGGCTCGGTCTCGGTCGCTAGGAGGGAACTGAGTCCCGCCTGCCACCACTGCGACTGCAGTGAGGACTCGGCCCAGCACACGCTGGCGGCGACGCAGCGCCGGGCCCTCACTGCAGTCATCGGAGTGGATCTCGCTACCGGCCGTAGTACGCTCCATGGCCGGTAGCGACAGTTGTTTTACCGCAGTCGCAACCTTCTGCGAGGAAGTAATCTCGCAGAAGGAGGCGGCGGAGAAGGCCCGGGAGGACGACCTCACTCGGACCCGATCCGCCGCCGGCGAACCGGGCGGCGAAGGCGCGCCTATCACCTCCTCATGCCGCCCTGAGTGTGGCCGCGGGTGGACGGACATTAGTTTGGCCAGCCGCGAGGGGGCGGCGTCCGCGTGTGCCGGACGTCGCCTAAAGAGAGGAAAATTTTGAGACGGGGCCCGCAACAGGAGCGGGCCGGCTCTAGGAGGGGTCCGGATGTCTTAATAACAGCTGTTCCCGGATCCCTCCTATTACTGGCGCAGAGTGGCACACCGTGTGGTTTTAGTCGGTCCGAGTCCGACACACCACCCCGCCGCAAACCCCGGTGGGGTGACGGTCCGAGGGGATTTCCACACGTTAAAAAAAAAAAAGGTTAGAACAGTGGCATTAGTAGTGACAGTTGTTTTACCGCGGTCACATCCTTCTGCGAAGACGTCATCTCGCAGAAGAAGGCGGCGGAGAGGGCCCGGGAGGACCACCTCCACTCGGACCCAATACGTTGACCAGGCGAAGGAAGCGCTCTTACCAGCGCCTCCTGAGTGTGGCTGCGGGTGGACGGGGACGGGTTTTCACCTCCATCCGCTATATAGGCCAGCCGCGAAGAGGCGATGTCCGCGTGTGCCGTACGTCGCTTAAATAGAGAATTCACACGAAGATGGTGCCCGCGGTATGCAGGCAGGCGCTAGGAGGGGTCCAGACGTCTTAATAACAGAAGTTCCCGGAAGATGGTTATAGTTGTTCCGATTCCGACAAACCAGCCTGCCGCAAAACCCCGGTGGGGTGACGGCCCGACGGGGTTTACACACGTAAAAAAAAGTTTGTGAATCATGTGGGTTAGGTTCTAACCTAACCCACATGATTCACAAACTTTTTATTTCGCTGGTCGCAGTTCTAACTGCGACAAAATAAGATATTTCTATTCTAATTTTTGATGTTTCGAATTATTATTAAGTCGGACTTTTGGTTATTCGATCTATTGAAACTCGGTATTTTGAGCATAGTAATTGAAGACGTTAGGAATGTTGAAATTTTTGAATTATATGATAAATCGGAGTTGTTATATTAGGAATTTCGAACCATTCGGAAGTATGAAAATCGGTATTTTGAAATTCGTATTTGTGATGAAATAAAGTTTTTCGCATTTATTATGTAGTGTACCCTATCGAAATATTTATACAGACGACTCACAAGTCTTGAGGTTTGATGAAGGGATCCTAAAGTAATTGTAGGAACTTTTTAAACATTTAAGGCACTTCTACTTACTGTGATTTGAATATTTATTTTAGGAAATCTTATATTTGATGACGAAAATCGCCATTTAATGATGTGAAGATGAACATCACAGATAGCCACGGAATACATTGCAATATATAAATATCTAATAACTTTAGTATGGTTGATGAAACATTTATGCTAATCACAATGCGTCTATGATAATAGATAATCAGGATTACTAACAACAAACATACCTGAATTAGGAAACGCCATATTTTGTAAAGGGGGGTAAATAAGTTGATAATTTCCGTCTTCGAGGGAAAAGATTAATAGATTATTATTATCCGCAACCTGAATTCCGCTACCCATTTTTTAAAACATTATTGACTTTAAACTATTTCTTAACATTTAGTTCTTTTTTGCCTTAGAATTCTTAAATTAATTGTAGTGCTAGTAGAAAATGTCTATGCCATTGAAACCCACGATGCATATTTTGTGCACAAATCGTTGTTAGTAAATAATAAATTGTTTCTGAGTATGACTCTTTTGCATTTTTCTTAAAAGATTATATTATTAAAAATCTGAAGGGCAATCCAGGTCAATTTTACCGTTTTGCAAAATATTATATTCAATTTTATATATAAGATTATGTTAATATTATTAATAACGTAATGTTGGAAATTATGAAATGGAAAGTCGTTAACTACCGTAAAGTCATTTTCGATATAATCCTATTAAATGAAGTTTGCACTTAAGTGTGTGCAGAGTGCACTAGTATAAAATTCATTTGGTTATCGAATATGGTGCACATTTTTGGATATCCTGAAAATTTTCAGAAAATTGAGGAAACACGCCCCTTTACAGAACCGGCTGTGATTGGTCGAAGTTCATCTACGTCCGTAGACGTAGCCACCAATGACGGCTGGGGCTACGCGCAGCCGTAGCGGTACAGCTTAGAGACGCGCGGGGAGCTACACGATCGACAGACGCTACGAAGGAGCTGCTACGCCAGGGAACTGAAAAATGTAAGCACTAATAATTGTATTATTTGTTATATTTTTATAAGTCCTTTTAAATGTTGCACATTGTTCTTTAAATTGTATCTACGAGTCTGTATATTGGTATAACCTCCATACATGTGTATGTAGATATCTATACTCATCTATGTATATCTACGTGCCAGATAGTTATGTAACAGACAAGGAAGAATTGTGATCGTACTTAAATAAAGTAGGTCACCATTTCTCCATTCTTTTTTTATATTTGTTAGTAAGTATCCTTTTCAATTAACGGTATTCTGATTTGTAATATAATTCTTTGACAGGTGTTAGTGTAGAGTTGCAATTGATGTGGGACATCGGACCGTCGCAATGCAGGCGCTCCAGGCCGCAAAGGAGAAGACCTCTGGACTCTTTGCCAGCAAGCCCATTCTGTTCAAGTAAGTGATATTTTTAAACTTAAAAGTACCTATTAACAATTACTGAGAGACATTCATCATCAAATGGTATTTTATTAATAATTTAGCCATTAAGGCGTTTGTACGAATTAATCCGGCAATCTTGGACCATGGTAGTAAATCATCGAATGTCATAGCCATCTATCCCGATCTGGTCAGACGACTAAATAACGATATCATTGAGTAACTGTGCCTACCATACGAACAAAACTCAGGATGGGTTGGTATTGGGAAATGTTGTATTAAAAGCATTGAGACACTTTACACTAACCATTATAAAAAAGGTTTAATTATATTTCCTTTCATAGTAGTGTTAAGGAAACTATTACGTTTCGTTCTATAAGATAGTAAAATATAATACAGAAAACATCTCGAGTCTAAAAGTAAAATTTAAGATAACAAAACATTTGACGACAAAAACCTGGAAACGGGTTGTCCACCTAACTGTCCTTCGTGATATTTTTTTGACAAAATACAAACTCGACAAAAGATAGAAAAAACTAGTCTTCCACTGTATATATTTTAGTTTGAAATCTATAAATGTACACGTTGTGATGTAAAATTTTTCTTTACACCTAAATTTTTCATTTATTTTTTAAAAGATAACTACCTCATTAGGAATGTAACCTGTGTCGCGGGGGAATTTACAGACATACATAAAACGGATATAAAGAACACCCAGACTCAGAACAACAATTTGTGGATCACACAAAGTGTCGTCCCATGTAGGGATCGGACCCACAATACTCAGCATAGTAGTAAGCGGCGAGGTGACCGCTTAAACCACTACGGCATCCGTGCAGTTATCATTAAAAACCAGAGAATCACTGAGAATCAATTACCATTTCCACAAAGACGATTTTAATCTCTCTCAAGAGAATAAACCAACATAATTATTTTCCATTTGATGAAAATTAGATGACGAGTAAATAATTTAAATAATGAAGTTTTCAGCGACTTTGCGTGATTACAACATACAGTGGGCCACTAGCGTATTGCGGGTTTATCACAAATTCAAAAAAGTATAGAAACTAGTACGCTATTTAAACAGCGCCATGATTATTACAGAGCAGAAAGTAAGATGGTATAATAAGAGTTGTCACAATGATATGAGTTGTTGGGTTGCCCAATTTTAAAGCACTGGAGCAGCGTCCATCTAAATGCAAATCGTAACTACATAGATACAATTTAATTCAAATTTTTTTATTAATTATTCGATTTTAATTATTTATTATGTCTTGTTCCTTTTTATTTTTTAAAGTTTTTATATTGTTTTTTACTCGATATTAATTATTTATATTTTTTTTTGGGTTTTTAATTAAATTTAAATGGTTTATATATTAAGTGTTTAATTATATTTATATCTGCATTGTAATAGAATATTATTATGATTTTAATTATTATTTGAAATTAATGTTGTTGTATTTATTATCATCTCTGTTTTTTTTTGTTCTATGAATTACTGTATTTTTGTATTAATTATGGGACTCTGTACCTGCAATAAATGAACTATTATTATATTATTATAAAGAGAAATAGAAAATCCAAGTTACGTTCAAGTTAAACGCTTAAGGGTAGTGACTGCTCACTCTCAACCGACTAGACAAGTGATAAGTTTTCGAAACTGTTACGTCTCATAACTCTTAGTAATTTTTTCATTTAAAATTAATACATTACTATACCAAAGAAATCATTTTTTTGGTATAGTAATGGAACCGACTTCAAGAAATAGACAAGAGAAAGACTTAAGAAAACTAAAATAAGTGCGAACCTCAATATAACAGGTAACATTATAATAGCAATAGATACCTTCTAGTCTGTTTGAAGTCGGTGCTAAGCCTGATTCACAATAAGTAATATGGTTCATATCAGCACAATAAAGAAATTAATAATTCAATATAATTCTAATAAAACATCTCAGATTTTGTTAATTAATAAAGACCAACCAGATCAATTACGTACGCAGACTTATCAAGTACTTAATAAAGCATTCAAAATAATAATATCATTTGAGATGTGCGTAATCCACTTTGGATCGTTCAGCATGTTTTGTGCAGCATGAAGACTCTTGCAGCTGCCGCGCCAAGTACTAATTCATCAAGTACCTATTTGGCTTGGCACTGATCTCAAACGAAGGAGTTTGAGATGACATACATGAAAATAAGGGCGTAACAAACATTTTTTTTTTGTTTGAATGTTTCGTAGTCTCATTTATTACTCTCTTGTGCACATATTCTCTATGTAACCTAACACAAACACCTTAAATCTACTTGAAAGAATAAAAAAAGATAAGATTTTTGAAAGAGTTCTCCTCTAACTCCTAAATGTCAAGGATCATTCTATTATTAGCTGAGCAACATGACATAACGACTACTAAATCCAAATACCTATATAACTAGAAAAACAAGCTAAACACGCTGTCGAGGCTGTAAAATTTGAGGGTTTCCTTCTATTTCTCTAAGATCCCGAGACCACCTCGAGAGTATACCCTTTCAAAATTAGTCTATAATTGACGGAGATATCGCGTTTGTTGCTGGATATCTCCTAGTGATGTTCCTGATGTCTGTTCTTGATGTCTCCTAGTGATCGTTAACAATGTATATCCGCGGATACGGATCCGAATACGGATATTTGGTGTCAAGATCCGCGGATACGGATACGGATACGGATCATAAGTTTCTTACTCAATCGGAGCCCGTGACCTTGATAGTTGTCGCCAATTGACACTTTGCCGTTGATATTTAAATATTTCATTATTTTAATAAGGTAATACAAAGATGTTTGTTTGATCTCATTATAAAGATAGCTCTTTCAGTACCTACGACCTGCCTAGTTGATTTAGTGTAGTACGATAAATGATTGCAATACAAAGGTGCCAAATATTTGTTTTAAGAAATAAAAAGTAATCTGAACAGAATTCAATAGTTTTTCATAGCTACCTAATAACCATTATTCAGGGTTATTTTAAATTTACTGAAAACCTCTTATGTGCATATTACTAACATTATAAACAACAACTTTTCTTCTGGACTAACACCGAAAACGAAAGAGAAAAAAATTGTTTCTCCATACAAACTAACAACATTTGATTGGTCATTTGAATGGAGGACCATTCTTTTTTCATTTTGACGTTGGCCAGAAAAAAAGTTGCTGTTTATAGTGTTACAAACACATACCTAAGAGTTTTACAGTGAATACAAAATCACCTATATAGAATTTCATCTATGTATTAAAAGATCCGCCGAAAAAGTCACGGATACGGATACGGTTACGGATCTCTCTTCTCCCTTTGATATCCGCGGATACGGATACGGATATCCGGCACATCACTAATATCTCCGTCAATTGTGGACTGGACACACAAAAAAATGCAGCCGAATTCCGAATTCTTTTGTGTTTTTGAAGTCGGTTTAAAAATAGTTGTAAGGTCATGGACAATATGTATATTATATTAATTGGTCTGCTACGCCTTGCTCAATGTTTTAAAATCTGTATTATTCACTCACTCAAGTCAAAATCTTTAATCGCCAAGCTACTGTTTGTATAGCTTGTGTTATTAAATCATATGTTATAATATCATATGTTATAATTTCGTTCTTCACATATAGTTATGTGAAGAACGAAAAACAATGAGAAAAATTGTCTGCAAAGTTACAAACGAATAAACAGAACTAGATAAACAGAAATCTGGCGAAACATTTGATGGAACGGTACGCGCGACGAATCGAAGCAATTTAGTTGGAAGCCGCGAAACGATCGTTGATATTATTGACAGCGGATAATATTTGTTGCAATAGAAATAAAATATCGGGACGGAGATTCTCGGACTTGCTTGTAACGAGAACACAGAGCGACATAAGGCCGACAACCACTTCTTTATATTTCAAGTTTAGAAATACATAGCATTTCTACGTTTTATTGCAGTTTTAGCTTTCAAAATTCGGCATTCAAATTTAATTGACAGAATTCAGTAGGAGCTTATTACTTACTACACAACAAAATTAAATATTCATTCGACTAAAAATGGATAAAATATTATTTGCATGGTGTTTACTCCAATAAATGTGTACGATTTGGTTTATCTCCTTGGAGAATAGAATGATGCAGATGTATCCACCTATTTCGACAGACAACATCCCGTGTTAGTAAAAGAACGCGCTAAACCATAACTAACATTTTGTTGCAAACGTAGTGATAAATTAGGACGTCAGAGCCAAACTTTAGGAGGTTTGTAGCTTATTGGCACCAGTAACCATTACATATCAGAACAGTTACCGATTTGGTTGCCAAGTAAGTTAAAAAATAAAAAAATGGGAACAGAATAATCGCCTTGGACAGATCATAATACTAAATCGTCTGAACTTAACAAATAATGCGATTACTGCGATGGCTGGTGGCAACCCTAAAGGTACAGTCGACTGCTCAATGCTGATAACAAACAGACATCATCCGGATTTGTGTCGTCATGCGAACGTTGCCGCTCTCAATACTAGAGTACGCTGCTTACATGGGGCGCACACATACACACATACATTTAATACCGTGAATTGTTGGCAAAACTCCCCTTGTTTCATCTTAAAAATCATTTTTGTAAAACAGTAGATTTATAGATGCATTACACTAATGCGCCAGCTTCATACTTCATTTGATATGATTCACCCTTTCATGCGATTTCTTAGGTTTTTTTTTTAAATATGAACCCAAAAAAGTGCGTTTTCGTTTGTTTTTTAAGTTATACACTCATTGCATCCTAATTATTCTTGTTGTTGTCCACATACAATAAAAATACAGCAATTTATTATATAAAATGAAGCTGTATCAAATGGAAATAAAGCTGGTACCAAGCAACTTTAGCGGATTCAACTCAGTTTTTGAAAATTAAAAGTAAACAGTGTTTGTATAAAAACCTTAAACGGTAAAATTATTTTTATAAAATGCGAAATTAGACGCTCAAATTTTATTTGATGTCATCATGGCCCACA